GTCTGAGACACTAGTTGTCTATCTTTGTCAATGAGAGGGGCTAAGTCAAGTTGAGGTTGGTGGTCTGAGACACTAGTTGCCTATCTTTGTCAATGGAGAGGGGCTAAGTCAAGTTGAGGTTGGTGGTCTGAGACACTAGTTGCCTATCTTTGTCAATGGAGAGGGGCTAAGTCAAGTTGAGGTTGGTGGTCTGAGACACTAGTTGCCTATCTTTGTCAATGGAGAGGGGCTAAGTCAAGTTGAGGTTGGTGGTCTGAGACACTAGTTGCCTAGCTGTGCTTATATGTTACCCTTCTTACAGCTTTCCTCTGAATTTTATTTCAGATGTTTTGTTCCATTTTGATTATAGGGATCCATGCTTTTGACACATATCAAACTTTGATCTTTCGCATTTTCATTGAAAATTTCGCTCACTATTGTTTCCTGCATAAAGCTATGAATAGAAGTAGTATGGTTGTTGCAGTATTGGTGATATAATTTGAAATTCAGTCATTTTGAATTATTCATACAAAGATTGAGGTATTTTTTGCAAGGGCCAAGTTAGAATCTTGCAAATGGACAATGTTGCAAAAAAGTCAAATGTCTAACTGCAAAAATTCAACATTTTTTAAGGCATGGATATTCAAGATATGATCATCCAAAAAAGAATAAATAAATGTGAAATTTTAAATTTGCAAGTTTTTACCACTGTTTGCTATTCAGTAAGGCTAACTTGGTCTCTTCATAGGTAATCTGCCACATTACCTCAATAATTAATTTATCAAAAAATAGCTTGGATGCAAAATATTTTACATTCCTTGATTTTTAACAAATAAATTCTTGGTTTGTAGCTCTAATGGAGAGATCTAGTCCAATGGATATGTTTGCTTTCAGGAGCTGGATACTGTCATGAAGTCACAAGCCCTATGGTTAAAGTCATGTGATGGTGGTCAGTCAAATAGTGAAAATCTTCAAAATCCTTCTAATATTGACAGCGATGCTAATGAAGTGAAAGACATTGTTAGCAATTCAGGTAGAGTTTCATATACTGCCTCCATTGAATGATAATTGTGCATAATAAGTATCTGAACTTTTATTAAAAAAGATTGGACACTTCAATTAAAGAATGATGGTGTTGTGTATGATTCCATTTTGTTACAGAAACTTGCACAGATGAGGTAGTCAATTCTTCAAATACTCTCGGAAGACAAAAAAGAAATTACAAACTCGAAATTGAGTTTCAATTGAGGTCTACTGAATCAAAAAATATCATGATGTTGCCAAATTATTAAATTTACTAGTGCTAATCAAGGTTGAAAAACCAAAAAATAACCTTTAATCTACATTTTGATCTGAGTCATTTGACATTTGAGAATTTTGAGCTGAAGCATTGCATTTATTCATTTTAAAACAACAGGTAAAATATTTTGAGGTGGAATCCATTTTCACCAGGACAGAAGACTGGATTTTGAACAACAGACACTGGGAATCAAAGCTGCTCCCAGAATATATGAGTAAAAACCTCTTTTCTTCTTAAGCAGCTGGAAAATTTGTTTTTTATGTTCCAAAATTAGCTTCTTTACACACCACAGTATAATGCTTAGAACAGTTTAAACCTTTTCTTTCTCAGTTGTCCAAGAAAATACCTTTTGTCTCTAGGCATCCATAAGCTTCTTTGGTCTATCTGCCCTTGGTAAATTTGTTATTGTTCTTGTCTTTTTACACACAGCAAAAGCTGCACACTTTGAGCAGCTGACAATTGATGCAATTTCACAATTAACAGGTGTGAATTGAAAACAATGTGCAAGGAAGAAAGACACATTTGATTTGTTCTTCTGTTTTTTTACTAATTAGCGATCGCTAACCTCTGATCTTACTGAAAAGTCCGAGAGGGAAAAGAAACTCTTTCTGTCTACATAAGTCGGGATTCCTTTGTTTTGATGTAAACAGATTCCAAAACACCTAAAAATAGAAGCATGACTTTGCTTGCCCACTCTTCTCCCCAGAGGCTATTGGGGAGGGAGATGGGAGGGAAAGAGGATGGGTTAAAATGAACTGTGAAAAAAGGAAAAGTTGAGGAGCTGGGCAGACTTTTCCTTATTTTTCCTTTTCTCTTCTTCTACATTCTCTGCAGCTCTACTTTTTCTCACTCCCTATCTGCCTATACAATAGCCTCTGTGGAGAAGAGTAACTATACATCACTATGTAGTCAGCTTACTTTCAATCATTATCCAATGTTTATACTGTAAAGAGTGCCAGAAGAAACACACTACAGTATGCTATGTTTCAAGGATTTTGTGCCATTGTCAAATTTTGCAGTACCAAAAACACGTATACTTGATTTTTATTTTTCATGACATCATCATGTTTTATGTTGTCGACATTCCAAGATCACAATGAAATGCGAATACAAAAGAAGAAATGGCAAAAAGTTACGGAAGATGTAGAAGCCATTTCACTTAAAATACTTCTAATGAGCCACTAAAATAATCAAATTTTTATGTCTTGAAAATGTTTCAAAGTAATTCAATGAAAACAATCAGCAGGAAAACTGGCTCAAACTAGCAACCAGCAAACCTGGGTCCATGCAAACTGGGCCTTAGACCACAAATCTTAAAATTACCTTGCCATCAGAATGTAAATTATATTATTTAGTAAAAGGCTTAGCATTCTGACAATAACTACAAAAACAAGTATCAGATATCAGGTTAAATAGTTTTGTTTGGTGCAGTATCTTTTTTTTTATGGTTGTTTCGAAGCATGAAAATTCTATTTTTTTACTTAGATGCATCAACAGAGGAAAAGTTAAATCAAGATACTGATTCCAGTCAACTGCCAGAAGATAAAGAACACACAGAACACTCATCAGCACAAGACAAGGTAGACAGTGGAGAAGAGAAAGATGTTGAATAATTTACACAACTAATTTATATTGGTTGTTTCTAGGGTTTAAATTGTGAATCAACTTAGTTAATTTCAGTGTAAGGAGAATTGTAATATGGTTTCTGATAAAAAGTATTGGATTATTTTAATTTCTAGCACAGCATCAGCATCCATTTGCTGACATTTCATAACCTTTTTTGATGACTGACCAACTCTTGAATTTGGATAAACACCCCTTTCTGCTTTTAAATATTTCAAAAGAAACCTACCCAATAAATTCTTATTCCAGACCCCTATTTTATCATTTTTGAACCATGCATATCAAGAAACTGCAACAAAGCTCATTGTTGTGTAAAGAAAAACACAGAGAGCAAAAAGAATAAGTGAAAACAGTGTTTAGAGCTGAATACTTTCATTATGTTTTTATGTTATCCATTCATATTCTTTCTGTTTCCAATTTAAAGAGACTTTCTACCCACCCCCTTTATTCTCTGTTTATTTTTTATTTGAAAGTAAGTGCTATGGGTGAAAGGCTGTCAGAAACTATTTGTTGTCCTGAGTGTTGCCTTCAGGATTTTGGCAGGCACTTTAAGCTAGGACCAAGCTACTCTTTTCCACAATAAATAAAGGCTCATCAGAATATATAGTTGGCAAATATTTTCTAAATTGATTCATGATTGAGTCAAAATAGATGGGGTAAAAAATAAATTGTATTTATGTGTTTTCAGCAAATTTCCACAGTGTTTCATATTCTAGGATACTTCTATCTTTTGTTATTATCTAGTTTCAAAGGTAGGTTGTTGCTTTTTGAGCAGTGTCCTAGTCCTTCTTCTTGATGTCACTACACCTTATGATTCCTCTGCCTGGAATTAAAAGGAAGCTAGCAACTCCCCTCACTCAAAGTGAGAGTTTGGTCATGTCAGTGGCCTTAACCACAGACCCTTGGATCAGTAAACCACAACCCTAAATACTTGAGTTAATATGGGAGGTAGGTGGGAAAACATAAGCAGTTACAGATCAGTAATTTGGTAGCAGTAGAATTCAAAATGATGTTGTAAGGCTTAAATCATTTAAACACAAATAATAAATTTGGATGATGCAGGCATAACTTAAAATAAAAAACTTGTCAATATCAGTGTATAATTTTTAATGTTCATTACTCAAAACTTTATCTTTACATATTTATTTTTTAAACTTTTAAAATCAATGGGCTTAGCAATTTTCCAAAAGACTAGAAAATCTTCCTAATAGTCATATTAAAAAGTGTATCATTCTATGAATTAAGTTGCAAATTTTTGGGAATGAAAAAGCCTTGGTAGATATATTTGCAATTGTTCACTACATCTATAAAAAGTTATCCAAAAATACAATTGCATTCTACTTAAGACCACACTAGGATTTGATTTGGATAGAAATCTAAATTATAAACCTATATTTGTTTGAATCCATATGGTTTTAAATGATAAACAAGGTATTCCAAAATATAGAAGGTATCATGATTTATGCCATGAAATAAAATTGATCTGTCTGAACAGGACTCAGGTCCACTTCTAAAAGGAAAGCGGTTTGAACTATGAATCCAATGATGTGACTTGATAGCATTAGGTACAACATGATACTCAGGTGCAAAGGGGTGAAATGTCTCACGCCCTTTGGGATCACGTGAATCAGAAGGGTGCACATCAAATGCTGCAAGGCATTTGCCAACATTACTATCCACAAGATCAGACTCAACATTGCATTTCATTGGGTTGTTCATGGCTCTCATGAATGTTTTTAGTGTTCCTTTGCTAAATACATATCCTGTACTTTCTGTGTTATACCCCCCTGAAGTCTTATACCATCGACCAAGGTAAACTGTGTTTTTTGGGTCAAACTTGGAGAGTAGAAGCCTCAGATTCTCGGCAATTACATATGTAGTATCATCAGCTGCTAGAAACCAATCTGCATCATTGAGGTGCTTTTCATAAACATACTTCCAAGCAGCTCTGGTCTTTGACCAAACACTCTGTACATTAGCGCCTATTGCTTGAAGATTTATAACACCAGGAATGTTACGGTTTTCTTCTGTACTCATGAAAAGCAGTACGTTGCAACGTCTACCCCAAGTCTCTTTCACAGCCTTGATGTGTGTATCTAATCTTTCAGGACTGGTCATTACCCAACACAACACTTTCACCTTATTCTCCAACGCTTTAGCAATTGCATCTCCTCCCTTATGGTGCTCGTCATTAAGATCATCAAATATAATTGGCTTTGACAGGCTCTCTTGTATATTAATCTCTCGAATATCGTCACCATGCGTTGGTCCTAAGCTGTATCTACAACCAACAACAAACTGCAACCCATACAGTTCGGCATATAATGTCGCGAGTAAGACGCCAATTGAAAGGCCTAGCCCAAGAGCAGTGGCGTACTCATTAAAAGGATTAATCCCGGTTGATTTAATGGCCATCACTCTAAACGTTTCAGCTCAGCATCGCAAAGTTTTGCTATGTGCAGAAGAAGTGGTGACGAGGCAAACAAAGCCAGAAGTGAGTGGATTACAAATGAAAAATTCAGAGCAACAACAACAGCATTTAGATTTTTGTTGGTTAAAATTTTGGACCCAAAATTTCCACAAATGTCTGAACAAATGTGACCCATAATTCCGCAAACATGATTAAAGCTATACCCATTATTCTGCAGAGCAAATAAAACTCTTGAAGCACATAAAAAATCATTAAACAAATTTTGCATGTCGTCCTTTGCCCCAAAATACAACATATACAAAATCAATATTACAGATATTTCATACTTTTATTTCTAACTGGACATTCATTTTGTTAATGCCAAATCTCCCCCCTAATAATTTTGCAATACTTCCACAAAATGGTACCCATAATTCTGCATGTTTCTTCAAATGGTACCTATATTTCCGCACAAATTTCAAAAATTAGTACCGATAATTCGGCACTTTAAAGGAAAAAGGTACCCCTAAATAATGGCACGTCCCCGTACCTTCAAACATGTTAAGGTACACACCCCCTCCCCCTCCCCGAGAGCAAAAAGGACTTAACAAACAGAGCTATTGATTTAAACTCCAAGACATTTACCAGGATAAATTCTGTAAAACCAATATATTTGATACAGAGACAGAAAGCATAGTAGTCAGTGTGCCACAAGAATCTTGTTTAGCATTGTTCTTATTGACACCAGCAATCTTCAGCAGGTCATCAAGAACCAGAACCGAAACAAGCAGAGATGTAGTCGTAGAATTTTAACAAGGAGGGCTCTATGAAATTTCTAAGTTGTTCTTGTCATGTAATCATTGAAATTTGAACATGGAGAGGGTTGATGTTTTTCCGAACATTGTTTGAGCAGCCAGGTACATTGACTGTGTTGAGCGTCAGCCGAGATGAGAGCATCAAATCTATGGGGAAGAGTGCGGGGGGGGAGGAGACTTCATTGCAAGTGGGGAGGCAAATGTTTATATTGCTCAGGGGTTCGGTGAAAGCCGCCACCGGTTGACGGCGAGAAAAATTTTGAGATATGGCATTCCAAGGTTGGCAAAAAATGCATCTAAAATATTGATGTCATCGATAAGGAAGAATTTTTTGTTCAACAATAATGACCCATTGGTTGGATTTTGAATTGAAAAATTTCCTGCTGTGTTAACAAAAGAGAGGTGATTTTATCAGTTGATGAACAATGCTACTAAAAATGTCATGCAGAACTGTTTGTAATAGGGTTATTTTGCCAAATAAATGTATCCACCCTTTTATTATCTTCGAGACTAAATGGTTTTTCCATCCATGAGAAAAGAAACAAATAGACGCAATGATAATGTTGAAACGTCTTTCTTCAGATCAAACGATCTTTCCGCGATAAAAGGTTCTATAAATATAATGTTTCTCTACGGTCGTCCCGTAACGTCGATTTGTTCTCTTAATAACAGGCACAGTCTTTCTCAAGCACTGTCCTCTCAAATATGTCAAATAATCCACAATAATCGTCACGCGCAATGTCTCAAATAGCTATACGTGTCCTATAAATCCATAATTTATGCCGACAAGATCTTTCACAAGCATCTTGCCACATAAGTGAAACGTCGAGAACCTAAATATACAAAATATCAAAACTTAACCTAATCGCTCTTAACCGAATTCCATTTCCAACTTCAACTCCAACTCCAACGAACTCAAAAACTAACTTTATATGTAACACGCCCAAAATATAACTAAACAAGAACTTATTGTAATGCTACATAGCTACGTAAATTTACATAATAATAGTGAATACAAAATATATTAGTCCCAAGATTAATTACATAAACTGAATAATGATACTAAAAATCCCAAAAGAAATAGTTAATGAATCTAAAGGTGCAATTAGAAAACAAAAGGAATTATAAACAATCGAATGTGCGAACGGTGATAAAATTACTAAGGTTACAGGATGCAAAACAAACGAAATCCAAACTAGCACTATTACATGCTATTCATTGGACTTGGAAAATATTCATAGTTTGCAGATATAGAAAAATAAATTTTGAAATAAATACAGCTTTAAGAACACCAGAGACTAAAATTATCCAAAAAATAAGAACATCCAGCGTTGAAAAACATTGAATTGTTCTTATTGTTCTTATAAAAAAGAGTGTAGTGCATGAAATATTAAAAATAGACAAGATAGAGTCAAACAATAGCAACCGGTGGTTGAATCAGGCATTTCTAAATGCAACAAAAAAACAACTGTCTCTACAAAACTGCAACTAAACGTAGTCAGTAAGAAATCATTCAAGAATTTTCCAACTGTATTTGTCAAACTTTGTGTACATTTTCTTGCATATAAAGCTTGCAATGCCTTTAAATCTTTCAGTTGCCTATCTTTTCCTTTTCTGGTTTAGTCGTCAAGTTTTGGTGAAGTAACAATTCTTCACCAATTTCTTTGCATTATATGATTCTTGGCTGTATCCAAGCACAAACAATGAGGAGGTGCTGAGCCCCCCATACTTTTTTCGAAAATGTTAACAAGGATGGCTGTGCCCCCTGAGCCCCCCACTGTTACATCCCTGGAAACAAGATGAAGGTCCCTTTTTCGCACAATTCTAAATCCGAAAATTTTCAGTTTTCATGACTGAGAGAACATGTAAGTAATCTCCTAAGATGCAATGAATAGATAAACGAAATACTTTAATGGGTGCTTATGAAAATGAGGGTGCTTATGACAGTCGCTAAGATCCTTGATAGAAAGCCAATTACAAAACCATCTAACTTTCCACTTTCCATTGTATCAAAACTTTTGCTTATTTCTGCAGGTGTTCCCCCAAATAATGTTACCATATCTAATGTGGCTTCAGCAGTGGCGTCGTGGCCGGGGGGAGGCAGGGGGAGGCAGGGGGAGGCATGGGGAGGCAGGGGAGGCAGGGGAGGCAGGAGGGACCGTGACCCCCTCTGCTTTCAAAATTTGATAGATTTTCGGATGAAATCATTTTTTCCGGAGTATTCCTAGAATTGAGCAGTGGGTAGTTCTCAAAATTTTAGCAACATAAATTACTTGCACTAAAGTATTTATCGTAATCTCGAGGGACAATTCACTTCTGTAAAGAAAATTCTATATTTCCACAAAACCAAGTTATGAGCCTTTCTGCCCTGCCCTTACACTTGCATGAAATGCTTCTATTTAAGTAGAATTAATCAAAAAAAATTTGTCGAAAATGTTTCTTTCTTGCCCCCTCTAGAATTCAATCGCCACGACGCCCCTGGGCTACATTGCTCTGTAAACTTCATCTAGCTTCGACTCGAGTACGAATTCTTGTAATTTTTCCAACGAACCCCTTTCTCCTTTAGTGTTAACAAATATATTCAATAAATTTAAAGTTTCTTGCTGAATAACGTGAATGTGAATTCAGTCAAAAACGAGAACCCTTCATTGTTTCCTATTAGCTTTAAGGCTACTTCTTTCAATTGAAGATACCCATTAATTTCCACGAAAAGAAAGCTGACATTCCCTACACACGCACTCGTGAGCCTCATTTTATTTACTGGGGTTGCTGTTGTTAAACTGAGATAAAACGGTGCATTATGCATGCCAGTTTCCCGCAGCATTGATAGAATAATTAATACTAAATGCGGTAGACTCTAAAAAAGTATCACTATACTTATTATATTCTGAGATGTCAACAAAAAGCATTAGAAATGAAGCTTTAGTTGCATATGCTTATAATTTTTTTCCAAAACCAAACAGAAGTAATTAAAGTAATCTTTCTAAAAGAAGTGAAATGCAACAAGCAATTAGGCCGTTTTGAAACCTGTAGCCAATGCGCTTACTGTTTGTAATGCTGTAAAAAGTAGCGTTTTTATCCAATATGTCCAGAGCAGTCCTTTATGAAAAAGCAATATATTCAAATAGCAGTTTCACAAAAAGATATTAGATAAAAGACGCCTTTAATATAAGCTGAAGAAAGCATCTTGATTGAAATGCGTCTAGATAAATTCAAAATCATCAAGGTACATAAATGAATAATCTTACAGTGTATCATAAAAAAGGGGCACATAAACATTTTTCGATGATATTTCTGAGCGAGCTGCACAATTGAGAATCTTGCAAAAGTTCCCAATACTGATGCAAATCCTGTTGTGGGACTTCCTCATTTGCCTGTGCAAGAACATGCAACATGAAGCCATCCGTCTTTGAAAACTCTTTGCCAGTGTGCTCCAAAGAAATAACTCCATGACTTGTGAAAGAACCAACAAAGCCGCTAGTCTACAAGAGGAAACGGAAAGAGGAAATGCCATCATTTGCCAAAACGAAGAGAGAATTCCGAACTCAAATAACTTAATACCAACATATACAAGCAGTAAATAGAGTACTGTCTGAGTAAAAATTGTGCAGCACAACCTTTTGCGAGCACTGTCTTAGTAAAAACTGAGAAAGAATGCAGCACAACCTTTCGCGAGTACTGTCTAAGTGAAAATTGAGAAAGAATGCAGCACAACCTTTCGCGAGTACTGTCTAAGTAAAAACTGAAATATAATGCAGCACAACCTTTTGCGAGCAATTTTTTCCCAAGCATGCTTTAATATGGCATTGACATATGCAATATGCAAAATAGGCTGCAAGTGCCTCTGAGGCTATTCAAAAAGATTTCTTCAAACGTTTTAGCATTAAACCTCATCAAGGGGATGTCTCAAATGCTTAGTAGCAATAAAAAGCTAAAGAAATCTCAAGGTTCGCAATATGCCCATACAAAAATAGTAAGTTATGTTATTTTATGAATCAGGATGTATTCTGGTGTCATGTTCGTGGAAACAAAGTAAAGAAGGTTCCGCCAAGTGTACGATCAAATAGCTATGTTTCAGTATTGATAACATAGGTGTAGCATCTGGGTGGAGGGAGGGGGCAGGGACTTGCGATAAATTTTATGGGGTTTCGCCAATTTAATAATAAGGGTACTAAAAAGCAAACATTGGGCAGCCAACTCTGATTAAAAGATACAAGCCCTAGTGTGAAGAGGATGCCTAATGCTCATTGAATGTTAAACGTTTGTTTTACCTGCAAAATGGCGAGAATGGCACTCTTAAGGTCACCATCCGCAGATTAAATAATCTTTTCGGTGAAATGACCTGACTTTCCAAGGAACATGTAAAGGCTGTCAATTAGAAAGTAAAACAGTTAATAATAACGAAAGACCCTAGTTTATTACACAAGAAAGTGGATATCATCAACCCCTGTGGATGAATCTATATTGGCGTGATTGGTGCTGCAAATGCAGTGTTGGAAGACACGCTAGTTTTCATTTCATTTCTCCACTCCTCCACAGATGTATGAAACATTTTAAAAGGGAACCTTAGACTTCAACGCCTTCAACATCTAGCATCTTTAAGTATAATTAGATGGCAGGGAGTGGACACCTAGCATACGAGCATATCGAGAATGATTTATACGTACTTAAGTTAAGACTTTGTTTATGACTCGATGTAAACAAATGGCACAGACCTATCTTTTCCAGCAGAAATAAGGTACACTCTGACAATGCAAACGGCATGTGGCTTGAGTGTTGGCAACAGATATGCCTCCTGGACTGACAGCTTTGTTTTGTACCATGAATCACCATTCCGAATGAGCGGTATTATATCTGTGCACCTTAAGGGATAAATAAAGAAGACATTTTTGCTCAAAGAAGCAAACTGAAATAAAATAAGATAAAAAGTAGTCAAAAGTAAGAAGGTTTAAAGGTAGGAAGCATCTCAGAATATCGTGTATATAAGTCTTAGGCTCTCCAAAAAAATCAATTATTTGTATGTCTATATTAAAACTCTCATTGAAGTCAAAACTCATAAAAATTAGGAATAGAAAGTAAATATCTAAATTGAGGAATTCCTACCAGTTCTAATTGCTTGATTATACAGAGTGGCTTTAATATCACAACAATAAAGCCGTTTGAGGCTTGGACTTTGACATCGATAACCTATAACAACTGACCTTAAATCCACTTGATCTCCCGCCAAAACATCGCATATCGGGATCCATCTTGCTTCTATTGAATGTTCATCCTCTTGATCTGGGGTTTTCAGAGTATCATTGGTGCACTTGCATGCAAACGTAAACCTAAACCAAAATGGTCCGCTGCTCTCCACTGAAAGCAGACTAAGAACATCGACATCTGCCAATGTCTCCTCTTTTACTTCTCGCTTTACAGCCTCCTACAACACAAAATCGCGTTCTGGAGCAAAATCGTCTTGGAGCACAAGCGCCTGCAAATGCTTCTTCATAATTAAGAAATAACGCCAGTAAAAGTTGCTGACGAATTTTGAAGGTGAACCGAGAGACAGTTCTGGGCCTCAATGGACCTAAAATTGATTTAGAAAGAAACAGGTCTGACAGGTAAATACTAAACTTTGCAAAAATTTACTTTGTATGTCAAGAATGATACCAGTATGATGAAATGATAACATGTTATCACATTTTAATGTACTTTTGCAGTAATTTCAGCAGGTGTCTATTATAATATTTGAATTCTTGCAAAAATCACTGAAGTTTTTGAACTATGGTTTTATGGGGAAGCATTTCTTCTGCGAATGTAGCTTTTGACAAAATAGTAAAGAGGTAGAAATCCAACTTTTTATATGGGAGATGGAGGGGGGGGGGGGATGTTAAAAAATAAGCACGTTTACTGACCAAAGCACTTGAATCAGGTTTTAACTGACAATTCAACAAAATCTGGATGGCTCTGACCCTATATCCCCAATATCCCCGCAATTTCCACCCCTGTAGCCATTGCTAAGTTGAATTATGTTTGCTACCAAAATATTTCCTTTGTCAATTTGTTCATCAGCAGAAAAAGAAAACAACTGGATCATCAATCTTTACCATCAAACAAAATACCTCAATTGATTCATCTCTTTCCATCTGCCCTGCTGGCAAATACCATTGGCCATAACAACTCCTTTTCGATTCTCTCATCATGAGCACTGACGAATCTCTGATTATCACTGCTGCCACAATGTAACACACGTTGTATTTAATTGCTATAGGCTTAAACTCTAAAAGTAAATTTCATTAAATTTACTAGTGATTCCCTTCTGTCGTCACATTTATGCCTTAAGAATCATCAACTTCACAAATAAAAAGCAGACATGGATAAAAAGCGAACATTTACAGCCTATTATACCCTTAATTTGGGAATCCAGCAGGAAAGACTTTTACTGGCTGCACAATTCAACCTGTTGGCAAATATATTGACTGGACATTATTGGCAAGTGTCAGTAAAAAATTCAGGGCAACTGGCTTTACAAATTGACTGTGCTCTTACCGAGTTACCTTTCTTCAAATAGCTAAAAATGTGGAAAAGCCAAAAAAGCTTAAATAAAACTAAACAAAGTGACATGCAACTTCTTGTGACAAAGTTTACTGATGGGAAGGAGTTTGTCCCACCCAAGACTGAAGCAAATCCTTTGAATTTATGAAAACAAAAAAAACAATACTTAATGACAAATGGGATTAGGATGTGATCAGACATGAAAGAAAATGAGAAAAAAGTACAGCAAACATTTAAGCAAAGAAATTTCCACGCCCACGACTTTTCAACAGGATAAAATCTTAGATTGCCTTTCGACAGAACCGCCAACAGAGGAGCATAGCAAGGGCAAGTGCCCCGGGGTCTTGGCTCATTATGGTGCCTGTACAGTAGAATCCCGTTATAACGTACTCGGTAATTATGTACTTTCGGATATAACGTACTGGTGTGCTTGGTCCCGGTAAAAGGTGTGCTTGGTTTTAATCAATTTTTACTTACCCTCGTTACAACGTACTTTGGATATAATGTACTTAATACACTGGTCCCTTAAAGTACCTTATAACCGGATTATACTGTAATCATGGAATTTGCTTTCATTGTCATATTCTGAGTTCTATATTCGCTGTAAAACAAGGGGCCACACCCATTGGCTGCCCTAGGGTCTACCTTTGCTCTTGGTTGCTCTAGCTATCAGCATGTTAGGCGTTCATCAATCAAACAACAGAAGACCAAATTTTTCGCTGAGAACGCTGATTGTCAGGGCCTGAGCACCCCATGTCCCTTTTATTTTTGCCACTGCAGACAAGAACAGCCACTTTCACAAAAGACTTCAATTTAAAAAATTATTTTAGCTAAAATATCAATTGAACATAACAATTGATTAAAAAAATGAAACTGAACATTTACATATTTAATCGTGCCCTAGTTTCTTGTTCTAAAATAGTGATCTACATTTTCTATGATAATTCTATTCATCAAAATCAACATAAACATCTTCTTCCACTTCTCCTGTGCCAGATTATCAGAGAGGCAGGATTAGTTTTTCACAGTATAGAGATAAGACGGGATTAATAGAGAGGCAAGAATAAGTGCAAGGGCAAGAATTGAAAAAAAAATACAGTAGGTATGCTGTTCCGATGCAAAACTTAATCTTACATGTAAGTTAAATTATGACACACTCTGAGGTAAGTTTGGGGGCAAAAATACTCTTTACCATAGAGAAAAATTCAAAAAGTCTCCACGGTTAACAGTACGGTCTACAGTTTCTCAGGTCTGTGAACGGCAGTGGGCTTGCTTGATGCAAGGGCGTGTCATACATGAACTTCATTTTTAGAGCACATCGCCTCAAGAGCTGAAATCATCGGGAAGCCCAAGAGAGGGTCTTTAGACTCAGGCTGTTTGTTTAAAGTCAAGAAATATGCCTCTAGTCTTTCTGGTGTTGGCTATAAACATTTGTTTCCGAAAAGCAAGCATTTTTAAGGCCTGTTTTTTCTATAAAAGAAAAAAATGTCTTCACTTTCAAAATCATCTAGCTATTAAGAGAGCAATTCAAAAAATAAATTGAAGTAGGGTCTCAATTTTATCAAAGTGGAACACCAAAACACAGCTTGGAAATTTCGGAATTTAGAAACAGCTACGCAGATTACATTGTTTCAACAAAAAAGAGCTTCAGTTGCATTTTCTGAGTTTCATTTTCAATTTTCGGTTGCTCTGGAAGCAATTTCAACATTTTTAGGCACCCAAGCACATAGTAAGTATCTCTGAATTCACCATAACAAAATCCCTCAAGCAAAGAAAAGTTTTTTTAATGAAAGTATTTTACAGGCACACCTATCATCAAAGCTCAGTTCTCGTGTTTTCGTAATAATGGATATTGTACAGAAATAGAAGAAACTCGAAAGTTTTTTGCAATTCATATCTTAACTACAATTTCTTGATAAATTCTATATTATTTCCCGCTTGAACTGATTAAAACTTTCTGTTGCTTGTTACGGTTATTCGAATTTTTTTAGTTAAAAAACTTTGGCGTCTGTATGACCATTTTCTAGCGAAGGGTGCAATACTTTCGAACCGTAAGTGTAAAACCTTAAGAGAATTTTGGGGCATAACTCCTTATGAATGTATGATGAAAGTTTCATACATTCGGAAAAGAAAGTATTGATTGATTCTTCTCAACCACGTATACAGAGATGGTATATCCTTCATGCTTTGATTTATGATGCTTCTAAAACTGTCAGTGTTCCATGGGCTCCGTGGCAGGATGGAAAGTTGGAGGGGGGGGGGGGGCTTGTAAAGGGGAAATTTAGAAATTACAACAAAAGATTTTTGAACAAAGCTCTCTTGTTTTGCAAAAAGTAGGGGGGTATGCCCTGTGTTCATTTCCTTCTTGCATCAAACACACTTTACTTTCCATCTATACTTTCGCTGTCGATCAATACTTCGGACTTCTTCGGACGTCGGACTTCGGACTTCGGACTTCGGACGCTGTCGAGGTCGAGACGAAAGCGCTGATCGGTGGACGAAAGACAGAAATTTATATATGTTGCTTTTCCTTGCCTCGTTTCTGTTTTTTTTTTCCAACTGGGAGGAGATTGAAAAAAAGATGGGGAAAAAGACCATGAATTAAAAAACCAAGCTAGGGCAAAAAGTAGCAATAAAAGTGCGACCTAAAGAAAATTTCCAGATTTGCCCGACAGATACAATGGCAGCCATAAATTTGCCCGACAAAATCTGCTTTTTTGAAGATTGCGGGGGGGATGCAGCACCCCTCCATACCCACCCAGTAGTTTCGCCCCTGCTTGCAGGGCCTTGCCTTCGGCAAGGAAGCACTTGCTGATGGGTGATGATGTGTGTTTTGGTATGCTTAATGGCAAGCAAACAAAAGAAGCAAGTTATGATTGTTGAAATAATCTGTCCAGCGCTTTTATGGATAAAAAAGAGGGAGGCACAGTCATTGTTGCAATGGCATTTTGACAAAACAGTGGAAGCAGAAACGGGGGCTTTACATGGTGCGCTTCTAAAACTGGATCATATATTTACATGGATCATAGATTAGCCTGTTGAGAACTCTGTTGTGGGAAACACGGGGTTCTTCTCTACAAGTTTGATATGTTCCTTGAAAATTGTCATTTGGGCAGTGAAATGCAAATGGACAACTTGTGACAATGGCAGCTTGTAAATTCGTAGCAAAATCTTTTGAAATGGCACCCTTTCCTTTTTCGAGTATTTTACTAGCTGCTACCCTCATGTATTTCTTCTGTCCCATTATTTCATGAATAGTAAAATATCCATTCCTTTTTTCTATAGTAAATCGACATTGTTCTTAGGGGGAGAGGGGGGTGGCTGAAATTGCCTTTGAACACTAAAGGGAACTGTTAACAGCTGTTAGGCAGTATTGTTTAGATGGAAGTGGATTCTTCTGAATTTCGCGCGACAACAGACCGAAAAACTGCATTTGGAATAATTCGACGTTACGTTTTTGCAAATAATTTCGAGCAACCATAGACGAGCAACTTCTAGGAAGTTACTGAAAATCACATTTTAAAACTTTGTAGCGTAAGCACGTGACGAAGATCCGAGACTCTTCTCTATGGCCACCGATCAGGTTTTGTAGAAACTATTCAAAAGTGTATTTATAGCAGTTTTATCTCCATAAGCCCTGTTTGACAGGAGCGCCGACAATTTTTCCACCGGTGACTACTGCAGACAGTTTCCGACAACGTTTTCCAGCCGATCGGCCCTCCGCCTGCGCAGAGGGTTTGTTTACCTGAACATTTATTTTAGGAGTAAGTCTTAAAAATACACTGCAATGCCTGAATTGTGCTATTTTGTTGTACTTTCTTTCTAGAAACATGATAAGTGACGTCTTGAAGCTAATTTCGGACACCTGACTCGTACCGGGTTCTGTTGTCACGCCGTTCTGAGAATCGCAAACTCTTCTTAAAAAATTTATTACAACGCAAAAGAAATATTCTTGATCATGAATACTGCACTTTAGAATACAGAATTCAATGAATAATTCAGGGGTGTAGTTTTTTTTGCAATATCATTTAGAGTTTTGAATGAAAAATTGTAAGTAATCACAGGGAGGCATGAATGCGGCCTAACCAATGAGTTATAAGAATAGCTAGAATAGCTAGAGAGATACCATGAAAGTGAGGCTTGAAGCCACAAGGCGTTTCGAAGAAATTCACTTGCACGGCAAAAGTTTTCTGACGGGTTGTTGTGTTCTGCGAGTGTGTGATTTGTAAAACGCGTACTGCTTTCGAAATGGTTATTTCTTGTGCTGCCTTTGGTTGTCAGAATCGACAACGAAATGGAAGTAAGGGTGGAGGAACTGATGGTGATCAGATTGATAGTCAAGAATGCGAAAATTCGATGGGAGTAGGGGATGTTGATGGAGCTAGTAGGCCTAGGCCTGTCTCATTTCACCGGTTGGTTTCCGATTGCTAATGGATTTTATAGGGTCTGCTGGGTCTAGGTTTATAATTTATCAGTTATTTTAGAATTCATTAGCAGCTAGGATGAGATTTTTTCCAAGGTTTTACTATTATTTGTGGGTAGATGGAAAGTTTTGCTCGGCGAAGCCGCCTGGTCATGGTTGCATTTCTCGTTAAAAAAAATGATTGTTCCAGACAGTCATAAATATATATTTTATTTGCTTCAGATGGGTTGAGAGTTTTGAGATTCTTGGCCTTTGAGATTCGTGGTGATTTTTCAGGTTGGTTGTTTGTTAAGCCTTTTTTG